CAAACCAGGGGACTTAAATCACCAGAATTCAACTGTTGCACAGTCCTGGGGGTTAGAGTCCAAAATGAAGGTGTTGGCAGGACCGTGTTCCCCAGTGAGGCTCTCAGGGAGGATTCTTCCTTGCCTCGTCCTAGTTTCTGGTGGTCGCCAGCAATCTCTGGCTTTCCTTGGCTTGCAGCTGCATGACTCCAGTTTCTGCCTCTGTTGTCACATGCCTTCTTCCGTCTGTGTCTTCACATTTTCTTCTCTTTGTGCATCTCTGTGCCCAAATTTGCCTCTTCTGATAAGAACACCAGGTCATTGGATTAGAGCCCACCCAAGATGACCTCATCATAACTTGATTACATCTGCAAAGACCCTACTTCCAAATAAGGTCATATTCACAGGTGTTTGTGTAGTGGCAGTTGAGGGGAGGGTGTTAGGACTTGAACACATTGTTTTGGGGACACAATACAACCTACAATATCAGCCAATAAATTTCCTCTAAGCTTATCCACTTTGGTTTGGGTTTTTGATCTTTCGTACCAAGAAAAAGGCAGGGCCAAGACTTACCCCCAGGTCTCTTATTATCTTCAGAGTCAAAGTCAACAACTGAAACCCAAAGCTGGGTCTTTACTTTAATTAACCACAGAGCTGGTCTCTATACCTACTCAACCTCTCCTTTCCAAATATCAGTGGCTAGGCCAGGCACAGTGGCTCATGCCTATAATCCCTGCACTTTGGGAGGCTGAGGCAGGAGGATTCCTTGAAGCCAGGAGCACCAGATCAGCTTGGGCAACATAACGAGACTCCATCTCTATTTTTAAAAAATGGCTGGGCATGGTGGCACATGCCTGTAACCCAGCTATTCAGAAGGCTGAAGCAGGAGAATCCCTCGGGCCCAGGAGATGGAGCTAAAGTGAGCCACGATCGCACCACTGCACTCCAGCCTGGGCAACAGAGTGAGACCTCATCTCTAAAGCAGCAACAACAAAAACCAAAAATCAGTCTCTACTTTGGGTGAAGGCCCACGGTTAACTGTCTTCTGCCTCCTGGCTCCTGCATACAACATGCTCAAGGAATAGGAGATTGATTGCTATCTAATTAACCAAAATTCAAACAGTGAAATGGAATTATGTATAGTTTATCATAGAGTGGTGGGCTGAGCAATGACCAGGATTTTTATCTTGGAAATAAAAAGTTATTGATTGCCTGCATAGCTGCACTTCGAAATGTCTCCAATTTTGAAAGCTCACCTCAGGTGGCAATAAGAACATCTGCCCCTCCCCAGACATTTAATTTCCAAAACAGAACCCCGGCCATGCTTCTTTCACACGCATGGGTGTGTTTACTTCAGGGCCTGAGAAAAGGCTGTAATTTCAGCTTATTATACCAAATATATGAAAATAAAACTGATCTCTGTAGGATCGTTTTAAATGAAAACTGCTTCCTTGAGGCAAGTGGAGGAAGCAAACTGATTGAGAGAGAGGACAGGGCTCTGGGCAGGTGATGATGAGGTGAAAGAGAGGTGATGGAGAGAGGATCCAGGGTGGGAGGCAGCACCCAGGACTTCTGCAGAAATAAATGCAAGTCCACAAAAATCCCATGTAGTGCAGATTAGCTGTGCAGCGATGTCTTCCTCAGGTCCTTTGCCAGGTCCCCAAATCACTTTGTAACACCACAGCTGCTGAGCACACTCTTCCCTGAATCTCACCTGGCTGGTACCAGACCCAGTCACACCCATGGAACCCCCGCCAGCCAAACCTGACTGGGCAGGGGAATCACCTGGACAGTTCAGCTTGTAACAAAGGCAGATCGGGGGCTCTTCCCCCAGGCACTTTTGAGCAGTAGGTGTATTAGTTTCCTGTGGCTGCTTGATATGGTTTGGCTCTGTGTCCCCACCCAAATCTCATCTTGAATTGTATTCCCATAACTCCTACGTGTTATGGGAGGGACCTGGTGGGAGATAATTGAATCATGGGGCTAGTTTCCCCCATAATGTTCTCCTGATAGTGAATAAGTCTCATGAGATCTGATGGCTTTATAAAGAGGAGTTCTCCTGCGCAAGCTCTCTCTCTTTGCCTGCTGCCATCCATGTAAGATGTGACTTGCTCCTCCTTGCCTTCCAGCATGATTCTGGGGCCTCCCCAGCCATGTGGAACGGTAAGCCCATGAAACCTCTCTTTCTTTTGTAAATCACCCAATCTCGGGTATGTCTTTATAAGCAGCATGAAAACGGACTAATACATTGCTGTAACAAATGATCACAAATGGGGTGGCTTAAAACAACAGAAGCATATTCACTCACAGTTAGAGAGACCAGAAGTCCAAAATCAAGGTGTCAGCTGTTGTCTTTTTCTGGGGACTTTGGGGGATAATCCTCCTCTTCCAGCTTCTGGGGGCTGCCAGCGACCTTTGGCATGCCTTGCCATGTGGCTGCATCACTCCAATCTCTACCTCTGTCTTCACATGGTCTTCCTTTCATGTATCTCCATCTTCCCATAGCCTGCTCCCTTGTGTGTCTGCAGCTTAAATCTCTGTCCTTTCTCTTCTAACATACCAGTCATTAGATTTAGGACCTACCCTAAATCCAGAGTGATCTCATCCAAAGATCCTTAACTTGATCATATCTTCCCTATTTCCAAATAAAGTCACATTCGCACCTACTGGGGTTAGTTCCCAGATGCATCTATGGCAGGCAGGGGGTGGGGGGCAGGCGGGGTACATAATTCAATTCACAATAAATTTGGGAGAGACCCATAAACTTGAATTTTTCACAGGCACCCAAAATGACTCTGATGCAGCTGATCTGTAGGCCATACTCTAAGAAACAGCGATCCAGTTGCTGGGGACTCAAAGTTGAATCAGACATGGTCTCCTTCCTTGGGGAGCCTGCCATCTAGCAGAAGATGCAGACAGATGAGTAATGATTAAAATAGAAAGTGTGGCCTAGCAAGGCTCAGACAAGCGAGGCTCAAGCAAGGAGTCCAACAGACCAGGATTCAAATCCTGCCTCTTCCACTTACCAGAGGTGAGGCTCTGAGCAAGTTACTTAGCCTGTCTGAGCCACTGTTTCCTTATCTGTAAAATAAGAAAGAATTCCTACCTTATGTCATTGTGAGTATGAGGCCATGTAAAATGCTTAATGTGAAGGATGCACTCAGGAAATAGTCATTAGTTATTATTAAGGTGGGAAGTAAGACCCATTTTCACCTCCCCCATGGCCCCTGGCTATGTGTTCACCTCATGTTTGTGAAGTTAAGGAGGCGTTACTCTGGAGAAACTCCGCTGGGACGGGCAGGCAAATTCCTGAAGGACCTACTTCAGGATCCACTGATTTATTCAACAAACATTTTTTGAGCACCTGCTGCATACAGAGCTCAGTGTATAGGCCCTGGAAATAATGAGCCAAACAAAGCACACAGCCTAGTGAGGAAACCCATTGTTCAATAATGTGGTCAGCGCAAGGTGGAGGTAAGCCCAACCCACTGAGGGGCACCCCTGCCATTTAGCACTTGAAGTCATTCCATCCTTTAGTTCACTCTTACTGTCTATGGTGTGACCTTCCTCCCAGACTATATCATGAAATCCCCAGGAGTTCTTTGAGGGTAGGGGAGTTGTCTTATTCACCACTGAATCCCAAGCACCTCACAATGTACCTGACTCCTAACAGGCACCTGATATGCAATTGTTGGAGTAGTGAAGATTCTGCTGCTATTTAAGGGCCTAACACCGGACTTCTAAGAAGAACTACCTCCAGCTCCTCGATTACTAAGTATGATTCTTGATGGGACCAGAAACAAGGTCCCCAGAGGATCTGTCCCTTGACATAAAGCCTGTCAGTTTGAGAAGATGGAGCCAGGCTGCAATACAATGGATCATAACACCAGACAGTTAGGAGAACTTTCAAGTACTAGACCAACGCCGAGCAAACTAAACTAGGGCAGAAGCTACCGCATGTCATTCCTCTTCAGAAACACAATGCTCTGCACACACTGGGCATGAAGCACTATTATCAGACTGACCTGGAGACCCAGAAAACGATGAAAGGAGTGAGACAGTAGAGGGTTTCCCTTCCCATACCCCACAAGGGAAAGATAAGAGCAAACTGATACACTCCGCATTGTGTGCACAGGATTAAAGAAAAGGAAGCCCCAAGTTGGCCTTGGGCTGGAGCTTGGTTTTCAGAAGGGAGAAATTCCCTGACATGGGTAAGTAACACCAGGAACTGCCCCCACAAATGGTGGCAAATCAGGGCAACTTACCTGCGAGAGGAAGACATCCGCGTTCCCTCTCACCTGGAGAGGCCAGCAGCTTCTCTTAGCGGGGACTGAAGAGCAAATAGCATAGGAGGCTGAAAGCGGACCCCCAGGGTATGTTTATGACAAAAGAGTCTCAGGGCAGGGGGACACGTTGTTCTGTGCTTCCACAAATCGAATCACTTCTGCACCTGTGTTTCACTTTTTTGATAAATGCCCCTCCCCACCTTACACATGGTAGGCCTGCAGTAAACACGTGTTGACTGAATTGAGCAAGTGAATGAGTGAACGGCTGCGACGGACCCCCGAACTCCCCCAACTCGAACCACCGAATTCCACCTGGCCCAGGTGCCACGCCAGGGCTCGGATTCTACCCCATGGCACCACCTTCCCGTTTCAGTCCCAGGCGTCCAATGGTTTGGCTCCACAACAGTGGCGAGCAGGCAGGCAGGTGGGGCTTGGCACCTTCTCCTCCCGGATCCCAGGGCTTCAGCCTCCAATCCAGGGCCAACCCCTGCCTGGGGGGAAGGCCCCTCCCCAAAGTCTGACACCAGATGGCGCGGAAGAAAGTGGCGCCCGCGCAGACCCGAAAGTGCGGGAGGAGCGGCGCACCTGGCGGGGTCGCGCGGGGGCGGCAGCCGCGGCCGCTTGGGGTGCGCGCCCCCCGCTAGTCCCTCCCCTCCCTGTCTCTCTGGGGGCGCGGGCCCGGAACGGCGGCCGCTCGGCCCGGCCCATCCCGCCTGGCCGGCGCCGAGGCCTCACCTCGCTCACCAGCCCCTGCCAGTCGCTCTCGGTCCGGTCGCCGTTCATGGTCTCCTCCTCCATGCGCGGGCCGGCCTCCTGGACCCCCGCCTCCTCCTCCTTCTCCTCCTCCTCCGCCTCCTCGCGGTCACCGCCGCCGCCTCCGCTGCTCGGGCCCCGCGCGGCCCCGAGAGGGCCCGGCGCCTCCGAGCCGCTGCGCCGCCGCCTCCCGCGGCCGCCCGCGCTGTTGACTCCACGTCAGCCTCCGCGGGAGGAAAGGGAGGAGGGGCGCGGCCGCTGGGGCAGCAGACACAGCCCGGGCCGCAGCCGAGCCCCGCCGGGCCCGCCCTGCGTCCTCCGCCCACGAGCCCCGCTCCCTCAGCCCCGCGACCCCGGGCTCCGCGCCCCCTGCCCGGCCTCTAGGCAAGGGGAAGCCGGGGTCTCAGCCTACAGGTCACATCGGACCCCTCAGCGCTCTGCGCGGAAGACGGGCCCCACGGGCAGTCCTGTGTCCCCCGCAAGAAACAAATCCCCAAATCCAGTCCTCCTCCGACCACCATCACGACTCCCACCCGTAGAATGAAAGCTCCCCGAGGGCAGGGGTTTTCTAGGTTCGTAGATGCGCCTTTGGCACGATCCTGGCCCATAGGAGATGCTCTACAAATATTTGTTGAACGAATGTTTGTTGAATGCAAGAATGAATGAACCACCTTTTATTATATACTTAGCATTGTTTTTTAAACTATTAATGTTTGCTTATATTTACTTTTTTAACGGTTCAGCTGTCATAAATAGAAAGCAAATGTAAAAATTGAAAATAAAGCATTGTTCAATTGTGAATAGAGCCAAAAACTCTGAGGGAGATGGTTAGCATGGGTTGGGAGAGGAGTCAAAGACAAATTGGCACTGGTGGCATTCTATGGCTCGTGCCTTAATCCCAGCACCTTGGGAGGTTGAGGCAGGAGGATCCCTTGAGGGCAGGAGTTCAAGACCACCTGGGCAACAAAGCGAGACATCCCCTCTTTAAAATAATAAAATAATTAGCAAAAAGGGAAGACATTGGCATGAAGCTGAGATTTCTCATAAGAGGAAGGACTGAAACAGAATGACAGAGGGAAGGTGTATCACACACATAAGTCAATTGTATTCAGTGTGGTGTTCTTATGACACCTAAAATCCCCTCTTGGACCAGCATCAATAGTGAGCCCTCTGTACTCGCAGAAACGCTGTGTGTGGAGATGAGCAAGTAGGTTGAGAAGTTGTGAACGCATTGTACAGTTGTGGAAGCATCATCGCCAACATTTATTTATAATTTTTTAGCCCCTGTTGATCCTGGATCAATCCTGTGAAATGGATGTTATCCCCATCTGTCAGATGGGGAAACTGAGGCCTGAAACGTGGAGAAACAGGGACTCAACTAGGACTTCTCGCTCCAGCATCTTGAAAATCTAGGAATGAAGTATCACCTTGAAAGTTTGTTCTTGGCCTTGTTTTGCACATGGTAGATTGCAAAATGGCTGCAATCATTCCCCTTCTTTGTCCCTTGCCCTGCCACAGTCTCTAACTTTCACTCTGTGCTCAGTCATGTAACTTGCTTTGGCCAAAGCAACATTTGTACATGTGTTACTGGAACAAAAATAAATAAATAAAGGCTTTTAAATCAATTGTGCATCGGGACTTACTCTTGCTTCTGCTCTTGGAAACCTGTGATCACCACCTTGTAAATAAGCTCAGAATAGCTTGCTGGTTAAGATAGGATTCCCAACCAACAGCCAACCATCACCAGATGTGTGAGTGAGGCCACTGACTACCTCCCCTCCGCCACCCCAGCCGATGACAAGCACATGAGTGAGCCCAGCTGAGACCAGCAGAAGACTCACCCAGCTGAGCCTTGTTCAACTAGCTGACTCACAGCATCACATACTAAATAAATAGTTGAGTTTAAGCCACTAAGTTTTAGGGCTATTTGCTAGGTATCAACAGGTAACTGAAATGGATTGTGACACAACTGATGAAGGGCCTGAATGGCTCGAACTCTCCCTGACAGCCCTTCAAAAAGCAACAGTCTCTGGCGTCATAATCTAAAGAACTGGCTGGCATCATCTAAACAGACTGGCTGGCCAGGAGCTAAGAAAAGGAACCGGCATATTAATCAGCACTTTGGTTTTCTGCCTGTTGTATACAACTGCAGCAGTCATCCTGGGGAAGTTCAATAACATTGCACACCATGGTCCCTGTCCTAGGGGGCTTGCAAACTAATGTGCTAGAGAATGACAGAAAAAGAGTGGGAGCTAGAATGCAGCTAAAGTTTCTTCTGGTCTTCTGACCATTCTGGGCTGCCTAACTCATTATCTTTTTAATCTAAGGAGGTAGAAAGAAGGTCATCCTTGAGCTGAATGTCTAGAGTTAATTAACTCAGTGCCAAGCACTTGTTCCTAAGCTTGACGTCTCATGCCTAAAAAGCAAGGTACTGTTCGCCAATATATTGCCCTCTGGCAAACCATCTGTTTTCATCCTGACCTGTGGATGAAATAGACTGTAGGAAAAGTGGGCAGAACTTGGTCCATCTGCCTTTTGAGCCTCCTTGCCTGCACTTTGCTCTCTGCCTGCATTCAGGTGGGAAAGCCCATTCCAGTTTCCACAGTTAGCTGAGCCCTTCATGATATACCACTGCTCCTTTGGCGCCCTCACTGGTATTTCAGGCAGCAAGACAGACAATCAATGAGCGTTGGGAGCCAAGAAATCTTCGCATTCCAGACTATGTGCCTTTAAGACCACTGTCCCTGTGACTCCATTTCCCCTATTTGCTTTCCTTCTCTGAAATAAGTCAGACAGTTATTACGGTACTTAAAAATAAAGTTGGGGAGGAAAATCAAAGCGTGACAAGCCTCTACCCTCCCCAGAATGTGAAGAGATTTCAACTCAGTTGAAACAGCATCTCTAGCTGCCTGGGTTTTCCTTGGAGGTTTCATGCCCCAAGTGCCAGCTCAAACCTGCTTCGCTTGTGAGATGCGATGAAATCACAAACCAAGGCAATGTAGCTGCAAGCGATTCTTTTTTATCTCTTTTCATTTATGTAGCCTGACATTGAGTAATAATAATAATTAAATGCAGTTTAACGTGTTAGGCACCTATACCAGAAGGCCTCTAGATACCTCATCAACAGCAGCCCAGACTGACAAAAAAGAGAGCTAATTATATTGTGGTTAGCTTTTTTCAAAGAAAAAATAAATCTATACACCAACTATCTTTATCCCTGATAAAAGCATTACATTAAATGTCCCATCCGACGGTCCATTTGCACAGGACCACTTTAAAACCTGGTGCCCTTGTCTTAAATGTGCCACCCTGTTACAAAGTATTGAAACGTTTGCTTTAGCCTCTATTTTCACATCCCCTTAGCTTTCTGAAAACTCATCTCTAGGGACCTAATTTTTCCATATATATTCATAGCCCCAGGACCAGTTTTATTGATTTATTTATGTGCACCTATAGTGTTAGAAGAAAGTACTTAGATGCCTTTGAGTAATGCTTTTCACTTTTAAAAGTTTGAGAGGATTTTAGATGTGGAAACTCCAAAATAACTTAATCTAAACACTTGAGCCAGCACAGACGGATGAAAACAAAAAAAAAAATCTCTGGAAATATTGGGAAAGAAAGGATGATTTGAACTTATTGTTAGCAACCTAAGCTTTCATTATGGGTTCTATACTGACTTGCACGAAGACTCTGGCCAGGTCTCAGCAGCCCCAGACACGCGGGAAAGCCCTAAAGCTTTTGATGTGACTTCTCCAGACAGTATTTCAGTTCAAATTCTGGCTGCCCAAGCAAAATTCTGGCTGTTGGAGTTCTCATTAAAGGAAACTAAGCAAACCTCCAGTAGAGATTCTGGCCGGGCTTCTCTCTGAACTGTATAGTTGGGGCAATATTCATGGCCATTTTTTTCCCCAGTGACTTTTCTCCAGCCTCAGTTAAGAAACTCAATCTGGGCAGAAAACAATTCATAATGACTGTGGTTTATAATGGGGTGTGTGTATGTGTGTGTGTGTGTGTGTGTGTGTGTACATACATATATTAATTAGCTCTATATGAGCCAGGCGGGCCATTTTGACAGGTCCTGCCAGGAGCCCCTATAGCCTGGCTGCTAAACTACTTCATTTCCTCTTGGTTTTAACCAGGTTCAGGAGACTGCAGGTCCTGGTGAGTGCCACAGCCAGGCCTCCTGCAGAGGCCTGAGACCTGAGGGCCCCTGAAACACTGGCCTCAATTCTGTAGAAGATAAGCCTCTCTCTCCTCCCCCTACCTAGAGGTTCTCTGGGAGGGACCTCATCCATCATTTCCCTACAGAGGCCGGCAGCCAGACACCAGAGGGGCAGATGGGGGATTCTGGCCAGGTTCCTGTCTCAGGGAATCCTCTGTGTGTCTTAGACCCCTGAGCTCCCAGGTCCTCTCACAGCCACCCCTGCCAAGCCCTCCCTGCCCAGCGGCAAACAATCAGCACGAGCTGCTCCCCTCCAGCCCCGCTGGCTGCCAATCAGCTGGGCAGCAGGGAGTGGAAGGAAGTTGTACTCCCTGCTGAACCGCAGCACTCAAAATGACTGAGTGGGGCTGATGACGGCCTGGCAGGCCGGGGACCCGTAGTTGTCACCCTAAGGGGGCACAGGCTTGGGCATGATTGGCTTGGGCGTTGCGGGAGACAAGGGGTGGGGAGGAGCAGAGGCGGAAAGGCCACTCCTTGGCTGTTGGAGGGGTTCCCAGAAGGGGGACTAAGATGTCAGGAGGAAAGGAGGATGACCAGAAAGGAGTTGAGAGACAGAGAGAGACAGGGCCTGGGGCGCTGGAGGAGACGCCCAAAGATAAAGAACCACGGGAGGAGAGCAGAAAACCACGGGCGCCGGCAGGGTGGGGAGAAACCCAACCCCAGGCTGGAGGGGGAAGTGGATGGAGATGCAGCCCACGGAAGGAGTTAAATGGAAAAGAGACAGGAAAAGTCATCCGTTCTCAGATTATTCAAATTTGTTGTACTTATTGATAATGTATTTCATTTCTTCTGCGTGGGGGGGATATGATTCAGCACAAATTTGATGTAAATTTATGGAAATGGAAACGCAGAGAGGCAGCAGGCCCCGTGCTGCTGGCGGGTTAGCAGTGTGGCCCTGGGCGAGGTGGAGGTTACTGCACTCTGGACTTGGGGAGC